TCGTTTAAAAATATTATATTAAGACTACATATAATTAGTTTGAATTTATCCTTTTTCTTTCGAATAATCTGATTTTCCAATAAAATCTCTGAAGTGGTTCAGTTTAGCGACTTAGCATCTTTAAAAGAGGAAGAAAAGGATATTTATTTTTTATATAAAAATATATATTTCTTCTCTCGCTACATTAAAAATTAAATGTATGCTCGAATTGTACTTCGTCATTTAAATCATCGATAACGAGTTAAAAAAAGAACGAGTTAAAACATTCGGAACAAAATTTTCGGATTACGTGATTTTCGGATTACGTGATGCTCAATCGACACGCAAATCACGTCATGAAGAGTAGAATAAAAACTGCGAATTTTCATTCAAAAGTGAATTTATAAACTTATAAAAAGCTAAATCGATTTGGCTCCGTAATATAAGAGTCAGAAAAATAAAGATTAATTTAATCGTATTGTAAAATTATGCTTCGATATTAATACTAAGAAATTTATAAACAACAGAATTGATCAGATTGCTTTTAGACAGACTTCGAGTATCTCAAGGCGCGTATATTCCACCTATTATATCTTCACTAGATAATAACCATACACACAAGATAACCACCAAGTAAGCGCAAATATGTTACAAAACTTGAGCATGTAATTATTGTCATTCTCGCTAGCGGTTACAACGTTCTAACTTTCCATGTGTGTCGACAGTTGTGCGATACAGCACGATCCAGCAAATTGAGTTTGAGTTTCTTCGCATGAATGTATGTAATATTCATTAGGCGAGTTATATACGGTGATCACTCCTCTATTCTAAAAAGACAATCCTTTATTATATACAGATAGCTATCCTTTATTTTAAATCTAATTTTGTTCTTTATTTTAACCTTTTATCCTTTATTTTATGGAAAATTTTTTCCTAATTAGAATTTCAATGTTAAATGTCGTACTGATGAATGAATTTTTAAAATAAAATAAATATTAATATAATTTGTTTTGTATTAATTATATATTCAATTTTTTGTAATTAAAATTATTCAGATTAAATCTGTTTTCAACTTTTATTATTTCAAACCGATTCTAAATTTAAACTAAGAATTTGTTTCAGTAGCCAAACCAATTTCAAACTATCAGAAAATTGTACAGTATCTTATTTTAAAACAGTACAATACAAGCAAATTCTATAATACATAGATTTCTGACAGTCACAAACTGGTTTGAAAATAAAGGAATAAAATTTAAAAATTTTCAAATTTGTCCTTTATTGCTTGGAGAAAATATGATTATCGTAATTATGTAAGATCGTGATTTTTTTTTTAATGACAAAGTACAAAAGTTAAACGTCAAGCAATGTTTCCCACTCGCTGCTAATGTCAAAAAAATTTCATAATTGTCCCGTCATTTCGATAACTGATCGCTAATTATTTTCTAATGACGCGTATCAAATATCTTTCATGATTTTTTTCGGAAAACCATTAAAAGTTCCGTAATACAATTTTATTTTAAATACCAGGATATCGATGTATCAAAATATATTGAAATTAATCACTGCGAAAACCATCGGTTCTTGATTCAAATAAAAACCATAATTTTTTCTGACAGATTTAAATGCCTCAAACAAGAAACCTTCAATTCCAAGCGGCGGCTTCCGTTGAAAAATGATATTTCTATAAAACATTATCCAGATGTGTTGAACGGCGATAACACGTTGTACCAAGTCCTCAATTGTAACACGAACTTTTAACCATTAATTTATTAATATATGCCAGAGACAAGTATGTTCACCACTGGCATACGCCATGACGTAACTGTAAACACAGCACACTCGATTGAATTGATCGAGTCACTTGTGACCGAGGGCGTCGGCAGGACGCGTACTTTAAATGCAGTCAAAGGTCAGTGATATGATGGATTATCGATTATTCGCAGTCGGATCAGTCCCACAAAGAAATACCGCAATCGCCATTCAGCCGAACACAAAAGGTATATTTTCTGATTCGACTCTGCTCGATAGATCTTTCTTCATAGACAGGCAAGTACAGACAAATGACATTAAATTATATACACATTTCTGAAGTCGACTTCGTACAACGGTCGAACCGTAGTTTTTCAAGGAAAAAAGAAATTAGTGTTATTTCCGCGAAAAATTAATGACCGTTGTGCACGGGAGGAATGGGGGAGCCGAAACGGAAGTCCCATTTTCCGGGGTTTATTCCCCTCCCTGGTTGCCTGTTTCGCACACGGTTGAGGAGAAGGACGTAACATCCCGTGTATATCGACAGCTGGACTCGCGTTTCGCGAGGCGACGCTCTATTCGTCGACCTTAACATTTCGCGGCCGCACGGCCGCTCGATTCGCGATTAGAGTGACTCAGCTCTGAATTCGGCGCCGGTGACGAAACCGCGCTCGCGATCCCCACGGAGAGCGGCTCCGATCGGCGGAGAAGCGATATTACGAGCGACTCGATAAAATTTACGAGTCGTTTCTCGATGAAAGGAAGAAATTGCCACGCAAACGAGAAACGAGAATCCCAAGTTTGAAACGAGTTCCGTTTTTCGCACGAGAGAGAGAAAGAGAAAGAGAGAGAGAGAGAGAGAGAGAGAGAGAGAGAGAGAGAGAGAGAGAGAGAGGAGGGTAGGG